TATATAGCTACTTTCAAGTTACCTATGAAGATCATAGGTCAATTGCACAAGAACCTACCTTTTCCTCTCCCAACATATTTTATTGCTCATCTTTTCTTAAAATCAGAGCAAGGGAAAGTAGAATTAGAAAAATCATAGATAATACACAATTATACTTGCTACTGTCAGTTCTATGTTTTCCCTTTACCCCTTATTCTGTAAATTTTAATTCCGAAAATTCATAATCCCATTTAAATGTGGCCTCCCTCAAAAATTCAAAAACCCGTCAAAATATACTCTCCTCAGAAATTCTGATGGTTCAACTTGCGCCATAAAACCCCCTTCTGGGTACCCCTGATGAAATAGTTGGATACAAGATTAATGATCTTTACAAATGGTTTGAAAATGGTGTTATAATTTTAAACATTGCCAGAGCAACCAAAATTAATTAAGTGAGAAAGAGTTGGTCGGAGAGTGCGGTCAAATAAAAACTAAATTTTTGAAATAGTATTTTAATCATTTCGCCGAAACGATTAAATACTATTTTAAAAATTTGTAAAAATTTTACCGCATCTCTCCCCTCCCACCGACCTACTCTTTCTCATATTATATCACGGTCAACTAACTCTACACCAAAATTAATAAAGAAATGATGAAATACAAATAGCCTAGATCTTTTTATTAATTTATTGTTATCGCTATTTACAGCTCCTTTCATCCAATGAATATTTTATTAACACATGGTTTTAAATATTATCTTGAGTAGAATATCTTCTGAAAAAAAATATTGCATAATTAAAATTTATACATATTTTATCTCCTTTTAGTCTGGACTTATTATCATTTATTATTCCCATTGTCTCTAAAAGTTAAGTTTTTGTTAGCAATAACGACATGATAAAATGAATTTATTTTTGATTTTCATTTAGTTCAAATGTTTAAAGAAGCATTTGATGAATTTATTTTTATAGAATACTTAAAAATGTAAGTTCCATTACTATCTTTGAAAAAAAAAGGTAATTTTGGAGGCTGAAAATAAACTTATTTTTGCACAAATTTTTTGATATTTAGGTTCGTTTTTGAAAAAAACAAAAACAATTTCACCATCCGATTCATTGGGTGTTTTTACATGGGAATCAATAATTATCTTAATTTCCTTAAAAATCTATTACGGTTCACTTTGGAAATAAGCAACTCATATGTTCGCTTAAACTCTGATGACCTTGTAAGTCTGAAAACAATCCAAATAATGTCTTTGTACGTATAAAACACGAACAAATCTGAGATATGAGATGTCTCAGAGATGTTGCATTGTTTTTTTTTTCTTTCTCACTACCGAAGGTAGAGAAGCTTTGTATTTTAATAGCAAAAATATCACATATGGTTTACTTTTTTTTGGACTTATGATAAATCACAAGAAGAACATCTGTCATGAGTGCATTGTTCTTATATTTATTTGCTTTTATGTATTCTGTTTTTTAACTATTTATTTATTCATTATTTTAAAAAATATAATTGTAAAAAAAAGAGTCTTTAGTTTATGTTATTAAGAATGGATTATAATTAAAAAAAAATTTTTTACTGCACAAAAGTCAATTAGGTTTTTTTAGAGATCGGAAAGATTTAAATTCTAAAATTTTGAATAAATCCATTAAATGGTATTGAAATGCAATAAAAAAATGGCCTTTGGTATGTTTCAATCCCTGAAAAAAATAACAGAATTGTTTTTAATATGAAAAATTGTAATCGCTCTATCGGATCTTTTTTAAATGAACCTTCTTGTTCAATATTTAAGGGTACAACTGTATATGAAAAAATTAGTTTAATAGTAAATATACATACCTGAAAACGAGAAACATTTCAAAAGTCGTTATTTTATAAATAAATCAAATTATTTTAAAATACTGATATGAGTCAGTAATTTTAATTTCCTCTCTTTTTGTTAACTGTTTTTTCTAATTTTAATTTAACTTTCCCATATATGAAATATATAGCGAAGAGAAGTAGTGTGATTTGAAAAATTCTGAATCAGAATTTTGATTGATCTCCTGAGCCTAAATAACTTAGTCTTGCAAGAAGTCTGTGATTTAAACATCATAGCTCAAAAAAAAAAAAAAAAATTTATGACATCGAAATTACATATTTTTTATGGGTATATGCTTGGGATGTTACAGCAAAGTTTTCATTAAAATCAACTTGCAGAAGTGCCAGTTTATATAACTGATTTTATATAATTATAAATAGCTCTAAAGATTTGTATTAAACTTCTTATATTGATGTAAAATTGAAAGGTCTTTAATATCAGTTAGGTCTTAGTTTTAGGCTTAATTGCTGAATTTTCAAAAAATTTTCTACTAAAGTAACTTTAATTTTGTTTATTAGAAATTTAACATATCCATATTCTAATAACTTTATTTTTTATTTTTAATTGCCTCTTGACTGTTTTGACTTCCGCCATTAATCTTCTTGCAGTATCGGGGCTGTTCTAGGCGACAAACTGTAAACGTTTGGTTCTCTTCTTATATAGATGATATCCATGGAGCGCATGGTTTATAATAACCGGACGCGATCACAATTACTCCCTCTTTGTCAAGCAACCTTTTGTAGACATCTCTATCCTATTTTTTTTTTTTATATAGGATAGGGTTATTAGTCCTGTGGCTAACCCCCAATCTGGAGGGCCAAAGTATGTTGTTAAACACAGGGATCGCTCAACTTCCTGTGAATCTCAGGGTGAAATCGAACCCGTGCCATAGTGATCTAAGCAATCGGTTAGGGAATGCACTTATTTATTTAATTTATTATTGATTATTTATACATTTTATCCTTGTTTTTGTTATTAAATCCTGCAAACGAGATTTAAACTGGTGCATAAAATTTTTGCAGGCGCCTTAACTCGCTCGATCACCGTGGCTCTATAGTTACTCCAAATTAATTAAATTCCAACCTTTTCTTATATGAGATGTATAGCAAGGTAATTTATTGCAATGGTGTAAAATTTTGAATCAGAGGTTTTATATTACAGTACTAATTATGAAATTTTATATTATGTATTACAATAAACTGTACTGTAATGTATCATAGATTTTATATTTAGTAAATATCTGTTTTTATTTTTGGAAGATTGTACTTTGTAATCATAATATAAGCTGTTTTTGTTCAAAATTAAAGGAGTTATTTGAGTTATGATAATTTTTCAAAACATTACACAGACATCAATCTTAGGTAAATTCAGTAACTCGTAAAGTTTTTTTGCCTTTTCTTTTTCCCAGCACAAACGTATCCAGGATTTAATTTTGGGGGGCTTCAGCCCAGAAGCTTTTTATAAATATATATATATATATATATATATATATATATATATATATATATATATATATACAAAGATAATTATTTTGAAAGAAAAAGGAAGAAACTATAAAAAATGTTGTATAATTGATTCTTGAAGTGTTATTAAATGTAATTACACGAACAATAATACTTTTAGTGATAATGTTTTAATATTTTTTCATTAGACATGGTTATATTTTACCATTTTGGGAAAGAGGGAGGGGGTAGGCTTCAGCCTGAAAGCTCCCTTTTTAATAAACTTTATAAAGGAAAAAAATAGTTTAACAACATGTATAATGTTATTCAGATTTAGTTTCTGTAAGTTTTACTTACAAATTTATTATTATAAACTTATATAGTGCAATCCATACTTATTTATAAATTAAATATACAGGTTTCTACTGGCATATATAGCTCAGAAACTGAACTTATTTAGTTAAAAAAAAAACAGACAGAGTTACGAGGTTTTTGTTGCTTATGATCGAAATAATAAGGGTATGTGTAATTTTAATGATCTTAAAGATTTATTAAAGCTAAGCTGTAAGGTTTAGCTCGGTTAAGAAACTTTGTAATAGCCTAACTTTGCCAGAAAATTATTTCTATTCAAAGCGGTTAGTGAAAGTTGAGTGATGCACTCACTTAACTATTCTTATTACTTTTTTTTATTGTCTTTAAATAAACTCAATGCCGATATTTCGTCACCATTTTAGTCATAAAATCAATTTAATTCATAATTAACTTATTTAAAAACTAGAATTATATTAGGAATGAATTTTAAAATAGCTCATGGTTAAACATGATGTTAATAGACCTGAAATTGTAAAAACAAATTAGATTTCTACTTAGCCAAAAATACAATTTTATGAAACACAAAAAAAAAAAAAAAATAAAAAAATGAAAAATAAATGGTCTGTTGCATGTTATACATGAAAACGAATCTTCTAAATAATACAATGCTAATCTTTAAGCATGTGCCAGCCAAGTCATGAGTTGGTTTGACTAATACATTCGGTTTTTGACGGGGCTCTTCACCCTTGCTCCCTGGTGGCGACAAGTACACATCGGCTGCCGCATTGCCAGTGTACTAGGAAACAAGTAAATAGGACTACACAGATAAGTCACCGTCCAGTAGTAGATTTATCAAATTATAGTTTACTGAGATCCATTTTTTATGGTCAGAAACTGTCATGCACTAAAATTACTATTACAGAAGAGAATAGTTCTCAGGAAAGGAAAATATTTAGGGATTGTTAGTTAAAGTCTTATCGATTTATAATAATATGATGAAATCGTCAAAATAATAAATTTTTGAATATTCATATTTTTTTTTATCTAACTAAAGTTTTTTTAATTTTAATTTTAATAGTCAAGTTGCTCATTGTTCATAAATTTGTGGTAGAGCTTTTTTTGACTGAAATTCTATTGGATAATATCATCTCAGTATAATCAACAGATTTTTTTTTTAGAATTTATAATTCATTAAGTAAAGTACAAAGTCAGTCAGGGGGTATGATAGTATCAAAGTCAGTCAGACAGTAAGATAGTAACAAAGCGTTGAGATTCTAGGAAGAGATAGAGGAAAGTCGATCGGAAGAGACTAGGTTAACCACCAGGGCAGCAGCTAAAACACAATGCACGGTAGAGAGAGATAATAAGTATAGTGTCTTGTGTCTGCCTACCATTTCGCCTACCTTCTTCTCCCACTGGAGTACGTACGGGACGGGGTGGTCCGCTGGGAAGTCCACTTGGCAGTTGAACACGACCGACTCCCCCAGTATTGCAGTGATGTGCACTGCATCCTGATGCCCGCTCCAACCTCCTGCGACATAGTAAAGTCATTTAATATTATATAATAAATAGGCATACCAGTATAGGTTGAGTGCCAGAAGTATTCACTCATAAGAGAAAAAATTCAACATGAGCGATTCTATATGCAAAATACTGAAAGATTCTGAAGCTGATGTAAAATCCTTAACGGAATAATTGAAAATACCATATAAGTTTTACCATTGAGTCTAAAAACACAAAATGTCAATGACTCTTTGGGGTAAAGGCATTCCAATGATAAATAAATAAGCAAATAATTTTCCAATTATGACCAAGGGTCATAAAATCACATCTATACATCAGTCTTAATAATGTGAGTTAGGCCACATGATAGTTCCTGGAGGTTGAGATGTTTAAATGTCGATAAAGCTCAGTTTTTCTTGGCAAAAATTCATATTCCTATTGACCTGGAAAATGGCCCAAGCCTGACCTTTAAATAAAACTTCAAACCTTTCCTGACTGCATGACTTCCGTCCTATTTCTCTCCTCTCTAATCTTTCAAAACTGCCGGAATGCATAGTACAAAATCAATTTTTCAACTTCCTAGAGGAATGTTCCCTCATTAACTTTCCCCAATTTGGCTTCTGATCTGACTATTCAGCGCATTCTGCCCTCCTAAAAATAATCCATGATCTATAAAACTTCACTGAACATCAAAAATTAACTATCCTCATCCTCCTAGATTTTTCCAAAGAATTTGACACAGTTGACCATAACATCCTTCTTACCAAACTTCAAAATACTTCTCTATCTAATAATGTCCTGAGCTGGTTCAAATCCTTCCTTTCAGATCAGTCACAATATGTTGTCACCTCCATCTAAGACACTTTCTGTCTCATCTGGTGTCTCTCAGGGTTTCTCTGTATCCTCCACTCTGATTTCTATCTCACTCCTGATACCATATCTATGCTGACAATTTCCAAATGTACCTATACATCCTGTATTTCGATCTATTACCTGTTACCAAAAAACTTCAAGAAGACTTGACTAGAATCTATGACTGTGCTGGCGCCAACAAATTGAAGTTGAATGCGGAGAAGATGAAGACAATTGTAATGTGCTCTAATTAGCTCCTTGAAACTGTTCATAATATTCTAAACCTGAAACTAAACGATGATCTATAAAATTTTATCCTACCATAAAAAACCTTGGAATAACTTTTGACAAAACTCTTTTCTAGAAAAAATATGTTTTCAATATCTTTTGTGAGCCTTTTCCACCTTAAAGCGTCTAAATTATCTCTGTCACCTATTTTCATTAGAAATCCATAGGGTCCTTAGTTATATATTTAATATTGCTCCACTTTGACTACTGTTGTACTGTATATGGAGGTGTCTCTTAAATAATAATTAAGGTAGACAATCAGATGGAATAAAATAGTCTGAAACTTAATATCTTAAGAATACTTACTGATATACACATATAAGCCTTTTACTTTGACAAGTATATGTCAATTTATATTAATTATAAATGTAATATTGATACGAAGTATATACTGACTGTGTATAGTGGCAATGAAGACGATACTGAAGGCAACAGCTAACTGGCGTTGGAGTCTCGGCATGCCCATCCCTCTCTTTCCATAGTCACTGCCCGCCCCCTCCCACCATCGCTGTCTGTAAACAAATAAATAAAATATAAATATGCACATAATGCATAGTTGTTAATAAATTGAACATTGTCTTCCTACACAGAATATTATGAAAAAAAAAATTACAAAACAAAACCTTGAGTCTCTTAAAAATCAGTAAATAATGATCTAGTCAACATTTTGAAAACCATAAATACAACTTTTTTTATTAGGTCAAGATTTCCCTAATGAGATGTACCACAATTGTTTCCAGTCCTCTTCTCTTTACCCTGCCATCTTCATTGTAATTATTAATATAAAATATCGGTCAGTAGCAGATCCAGAATTAAATTTTAAGGCAGCTTCATCCCAAAAGGTTTTTAAAAAATAAATATACAAAGATAATTATTTCAGTGGAAAAATAAAGAAACTAACTACCTATATGAAATTATTGTTGAAGCCATATAAAAAAAAAAGTAATTTTACGAACAATAATGCTTTCACATATTTTTTTCACAAAACATGGTAATATTTAGTAACTGTATACGCATTATAGTTTTTAAAAAATATAACATATTATTGTTTTAAATATTTAACTTAGATCACTCACAACAACAAATATCAACTAATCAAAAAAAAAAAAATTATTTTTCCAATTTGGAGGAGGCTTCTGTCCGAAAGTCTTCCCCTCGTAGATATACCACTGATATAGGTGTATGTTTTTAAAAATATTTTTATATTTTTTACCTATATCAAATATAATGAGTCTAGAATACATTTTCATTTCAGAAAGAGAACTTGATTTTTTTAAATAATAAAAAAATTAATAATCTAGTTGCTCGCAAGCCAATTGTAAACCCTAGTGTAGAAGTGATGGACTTTCTTTATTTGGTCTATATATATTGAAACTATATTATTCAAACTGTATTGAATAATATTGAAGATAATTTATATTTATTATAATAGCATATATCAGTCTAAATACTAGGCTAGTATATAATTAGTCTATTTACTATAAACTAACCTTTTTTTATATAATTTGTTGAAGTGAGATGTGCTCTCACTCATTTTTATTTCTTTGATCCTATGTATTTCAGAGACAACGATACCTTGTATTGCAAAACATTGAATAGTTTGATATTTACTGTTATCTGAGAGACTCAAGGAAATCTTGCATTGATAACCTAATGTTTGATATGTCGCTTTTTTTTTTTTACTCATTTCTCTTATTAAGCAAGACATATTGTTTAAATACACTATAAATATTTAATTTTATCACAGTTTTCCGATTTATAGTTTTAAAGACTGTAAATGAGAGAGAAAGGTTATCGAAGTGAAAACAACTTTACTCTCAACCGTTATCAGCTTCCTGAAGATCTTAATGAAGTTTAAGTTTCAAAGGGAACTTCTTGCGAATAGTAAAAGCTTCACGAAACAGGCCATATTTTAATAGATTCCAAACCGAAATGATTTAATTATAAGTTTAGTACATATCTCTTTTATTCTATTGATTGCCACTTCAGAAGCAGTGTTCTAAAGTAAATTATTTTACTTAATTATTTTCTAAATTACAAACCATAAGGCGATTCCTCTTAATAATAGATTGTTTAATATTTTTTTGTTTAAATATAATGACTGATTCGCATAGTAAAATTATGAAATATATTACTTCCTGAAATATTGAATTATAATAATTGATAAGTTTTTTAAATGTATTTTTATTTTTTTTGGCATCCGTAAGCTAAAATGTAAAAGACATGTTTTTATTTATTTTATATTAAGCATTCTTCCGATTGCATCATTATGTTGCCACTACCAATTTTCTACAAAAATAAAAAAAATGGCTAATTATTATAATTTATTACTTTTTTTATTTAATTAATTTAAAAAAAAAACATGATAGGAGATTTGTATGAGCTACTATTGAGAACCAAATCCAATTCAAAGAATAATAAGTGAATAACAAAAGAAGGCGGTAATGAAGTTAAATGTATCACTTTAACTGATAGTTATTTTTTGGTACTGCTACTGGTGGAGGAACTAGTTCAGCAATTGAGCCTTGTGGCACTTTTTATCAATCCCTGAGGACAATCTTGAGTATCTTTTAAAAGTGTTAAATAAATACGGACAAGACAAAATATATGGTTAACAGCAAAAATGGCGGCAATTTCGGTGTTATATAAATATTGAAAGAAATACGTTTGAACATATAGTATTTACAGTCTACGATTACAAAAACAAAATTAAGTTAAATAGGAAGTTAAGGCTAAAATAAAGATGGGAAATGCTTGCTATTTTTCAGTTGCGAAACTACTTAGCTCGCAGCTGTTGTTCCGAAAATTAAAAATTAAACTTTACAAAACCGTTATTCTTCTTAAGAGTCATTATGGGTGCGAATCATGGCCGCGTCCATTAAGAGATTAGCAACGTCTTAAGGTTTTGAAAATAAATTATTGCGTAGAATATTCGGACCGTAGAAGAGTGAGTCAACCGGAGAATTTAGGCGGTTGCTCAAAGTTAAATTGCGCGAACTATGTCCAGTTAATATACGCTGTGCCGACTGGCAAGCGTCTGAGGAGTAGTCCAAATCAAAGGTGGGAAGACTTGCGTTAAGGCTGATCTGGCGTGGCTGGATTTGGACAGCGCTCGGTGGATGAAAAATTATAGACATCGACCGAAGGTATCGGTATCGAACCTTCAGGTTCACTAAGCATTATTATTATTATTATTATTGCAAGTGTTACCCTACTTAGATGAGTGGCCACAATATCCCATGATCGCACTATAAATAGAATTCTGAGAAAGGCCGACCGTCTACGGAAGTACACGGAGCTGTCCGAACCATCTGGCAAGGCCCAGACCTCCATTGAAAAGGACTTGTTAGGGGTTTCCTTATCCCTTTTGAGAGGGCGGAGGTCGAAAGCTGCGATGTAATTAAAGGTGGTCAAGGTCCCGAACTCAACTGAAAAGAATTAGTTGGGAGTTTGCGAATGGCGACCTAAATAAAGAGAGGATACAACCGCGGACGCGTTATCACTACTCGGCCGTTCTGAGAATTCCATTTAAAGTATGATCCTGAGATCTTGAACCTGCCAATCAAAGTGGGAAACACTTTTATAGGCAAGTTATTTCATCAAAACTTTGGATCAGTACATTTTTTTTATGGGGTTAATGAAATTTTTGAGGGGATAACGAAATTTTTGAGGATACCATATTTATTTAGAGTAAAATTCTGAAGGACTTGGAAACAAGAACACCATGAGAAAACGTAGAACAGGCCACAGAAAGTTAAATAAAATAAGGAAATTCGTCTTCCAAGATTCTATAGGATTAATTAAAAAATACTAGCTCTCTTTTAATTTATATAATAATTCGTATAGTATATTTGTCGAGATGACGAGATAAAAAGATAATAAAATAATGCAGCCGATCATAAGATAGAGAAATAAATTTTAATTTTCTCGGTAATTGTAATAAACCAAAGAAATGAAAATTAATTAAAAGTCATTTCATTCATGTTTGAAAATTACAAGAAGCTGTCTCTTTGCTATTAATGGTCCGATTTCGATGATTTTTTGGTGTTTTTATAGAGAAGTTAGTAATCGTTTAAATAATCCTACAACCAACAAAAAATGTGTACTTTTTGAGTTATTCACAAATAATTTTTCTTTTCCTTCGTAACTATTTTGCCTGAATTTTCGTTGCGATTTGACTATTTTTCCCATCTGAAGGAGAAAGAAATCTACAAAATGATGGCTTTGGCAATCTATGGATTCGATGAATAATTAGCGAATCTATGGCGACCCAGGGGTGCCCAGAACCCAGGACGGCATTTCATGGCTCAAGCTGCGCCATACAAATTTTTGAGGGAGGGGAGCACATTTTGACTGGGTTTTGAACTTTTAAGGGGAGCATATTTTGAAGGGTTATGAATTTTCGTAGTGAAACCTTTAAAACCCGAGATCAAAGGGAAAACATGTTATAAACTGCATCAAGTGTAATCGTATATGATCTACGATTATTTAAATTTTATTATTGAGTGCACTATTTTCATGAAGAGAAAAGCAATATAATATCTTTGGAGGTGGGATGGGGGAGAGGAATTCCTGCGCCATGGACTCTGGGAGGAGAGGAGCACAACTAGGCGTACCGAAAAAAAAAAAACTTTGATAAATAATATTAGAAAGCCTGGAAACCCTTTGCCTTAGACTCTCGAAAATGGTACATTTTTGGACTTTAAAACACTGTGCCGGTTAGTCATCATCATAGTCATATTCCTCTTTACCGCCTATGCAGTGTGAGGTTGCTTCTTGTAGAGCTTGGACCGGGTGGACCTTTCCAGTACCAGCTCTCGTCTCCTGTTCCATTCCAAACCTCGCTTCTGGAATGCATCTGGCACGCCTTCTTCCCAGGAGATTCTGGGACTTCCTCTTGATCTCCTACCCTGAACGCGAGTCTTATATGTCTTCCGTGCGACTCTGTTCCGGTCTATACGGAGAAGGAGTCCAAACCATCTCATCTTGTGTTCTTCTATAATGGTTTCGACCGCTTTGGCGTCGAGATTGGCGCGGATTGTAGTATTGCGAATTCTGTCTCGTCTAGTCTTTTCCTCCACCTTTCGCAGGTATCGCATCTCTAGAACCTGGATCTGGCTCCTGTGTTTCGAAGTAAGTGTCCGGGACTCGGAGGAATACGTCAGTATAGGAAGGAATACTGATCTGTAGACCGCCATCTTCGTTTCCTTGGTCACCTCTTTTTGGTTCAGAAAGCCTTTCCTAACCGAGCCGAACATTCTTCCAGCAGCTCCTATTCTCTGCCTCACCTCCTCGTCAATATATCCATTTTCGTTGATTTGAGCACCCAAGTATTTGAAACTGTCCGCCTGCTCTGAAATCTCACCCTCGACCCTCAATACCCTCATAACCCTGTGAGGTTTTCTTCCAATGCGCATGCATTTCGTCCTCTCAGAGTTAATTTTCATATTGATTTTTCTTAAATCTTCCTTCAGGATATTAATGTTGTTCTGGAGGTCACGGTCATTCTGGGCCAATATGACGAGGTCATCCGCCAACGGCAGCAGAGAGCATAGAGTAGGCTGCATATATCTGTGACCCAACTGGAAACTGTTTTGCTTTTTCCAGCGCCAGATTGAGAACCAGTACGAAAAGAAGTGGGCTCAGGCTACAACCCTGTCGTATGCCCTGTGTTGTTTTGAACTCTCGAGAGGTATGGTTTCTTGTTCTAACAAGATTCCTCGTATTTCCGTATAAACTGCTTACGGCCCTTATACGTCCATTATTTACACCTTTTTCCTCTAGAGCCTCAATTATATCTTATTCAGGTTAGTTCTGAAAAAATTAACAATGTCTTGATGTCAAGTTCAAAATCTTCAAATCTGAATTTGTCCCATTTCGATCAACGAATTAATTAAAATGATTCGGATAGTAAAATATAAAACAAATGAATTCCCTCAAGTGAAATTCATTCAAAATTATCTTAATTATGTCCAATTAAAGGAAGATTGCTTCGTCTCTGCAGATTGGCTACACTCAGACAATGCTGAGGTTCGTGGAGATTGGTATAGCTTGCTCATTGGAGCTCTGTCGTGACTCTCGGAATGCAATTAGTAGCGGGGACATTGATCGACAGATTCGGCCATTCAAGATGGATTCAATAACCACTTGACCTCAGCCCTCAGGATTGTTACCAAGGAGATTCCGACCTGAAGCTTTACAAGGGAAAGTGAATATGAGAAATTGTGCGAAATGCGCATAATACATCTTTCACTTACCACCCTGCTTTGAATAGAATTTAATATTTTCAAACAGGAATTTTTTGTTGTTTTTATTTATCCTTTAACAATATTCCACTCCTCTCTGTCGAACAGATCCGCTACCTAGGATTTCATCTGGACAAACGTCTTATTTGCAATCCTCATACAAGACTAAAACGACAATAAACTGCTAAACGTTTCCGGAAATTTCAACACGTACTAGACAAACGCTCTAAACTTCCAATAAACTATAAAAGACTCATTTACTTGACTATAATAAGGCTTATTTGGATCA